ATATATATATATATATAGGGGTTGGTTCAAATACTAACCAAATTTTTTGTGTTAACTTTGTTAACCAAGCTCAATCAATCATATTCCATCTTTTCTGTAGGTTCACATATAACTCATATATTAATGACAAGGGTAATTAAGTAATTTGTCATTTATGTAACTCCAAATCATTAATTGGGAGTTACAAATTTCAATAATTGATGATTATGTAATATTGATATTTTGTGTTCATGTTTTATAATTTCGATTTATTCTATCCATAATGATATTGATTTTGTAATTGTTAAAGAATTTCCGATTGTAAAGATTTCGATATCGTCCGAGTAATATGGATAAACCTATTGGAAAACAGATTGACAACAATGAGAATGAAAAGGTTAAAATCGTCTACGACTACAATCGGAATCGAATTCATATGTAATTGTTAAAAAATTGTTCACAAGTGTTCATATTGTGTTCATATGTACACTAGCTGCATATCTCAACATTGGCTTGCTCCTGAATGTGTTTATAATGAAGGAACTATTGTTCACAAACTGTTCATATTTTGTTCATATGTACACTAGCTGCATATCTCAACATTGGTTTGCTCCTTAATGTGTTCATAATGAAGGAACTATTGTTCACAAACTGTCCACATTGTGTTCATACCTGTTTATTTATTTATTTACTTTCGTGTAACAACTATTCTTATTATATTCATATTGTGTTCATAAATGTTATACAGTCCAAGTTCATATATATGTCAATTTTTGTTCGTATTTGACACAATGGTTCTTATATATATATATATGTGTGTGTGTGTGTGTGTGTGTTCATATGGTTCTTACTTTAACAAAAATAAATTAATAAAAATAATGAGATTTTTTGATTTTGTAACTACCAATTAATGATATGAGAGTTACATAATTTTTTTTTACCTAAATACCCTTTTCCTCTTTGTTCACATATGTTCTTTGAAATTGTAAATTTAAAAATTTAATTTTTTATCATGATTAATCACAACCCTTTATTGTAAGAATCAATGGTCAAGATGAGTTAACAAAGTTAACACAAAAATCTTTGTTAGTATTTGAACCAAGCTCTCTCTCTCTCTCTCTCTCTCTCTCTATATATATATATATATATGAACCTTTGTGTAAAATACGAACAAAAATTGACATATAGCATTTATGAACACAATATGAATATAATAAGAATAGTTGTTGCACGAAAGTAAATAAATAAAAAAACAGGTATGTACACAATATGAACAGTTTGTGAACAATAATTCATTCATTATGAACACATTCAGGAGCAAGCCAATGTTAAGATATGCAACTAGTGTACATATGAACACAATATGAATAGTTTGTGAACAATAGTTCCTTCATTATGAACACATTCAGGAGCAAGCCAATGTTGAGATATGCGGCTAGTATATATATGAACACAATATGAACAGTTTGTGAACAATAGTTCCTTCATTATGAACATATTCAGGAGCAAGCCAATGTTGAGATATGCAACTAGTGTACATGTGAACACAATATGAACACTTGTGAACAATTCTTTAACAATTACATATGAATTCGAATTCCGATTGTAGTCATAGACGATTTTAACCTTTTCATTCTCATTGTTGTCGATCTGTTTTCCAATAGGTTTATCCATATTACTCGGACAATATCGAAATCTTTACAATCGGAATTTTTTTAACAATTACAAAATCAATATCATTATGAATAGAATAAATCGAAATTACAAAACATGAACACGTATAAAAAAATGAATATTACATAATCATCAATTATTGAGATTTTTAGATTTGTAACTCCCAATTAATGATTTGGGAGTTACATAAATGACAAATTACTTAATTATTCTTGTCATTAATATATGAGTTATATATGAACCTAAAGAAAAGATGGAATATAATTGGTTGAACTTGGTTAACACAAAAATTTTGGTTAGTATTTGAACCAACCCATATATATATATATATATATATATATATATATATATATATATATATATATATATATATATATGAGATCTTGAAAAGCAATTAAGAAACGAAATTGTTAGGGTTAATTGTAAACAAACGTTTAGAAATTTGGAAGTTTCTGTGAATAGAAGAAAGTTGAGGGGCTCCAAAGCATTTTCAGGATTCGTGACTTGGGAAAACCATGGACGCAATCCATGCCTAATTGCCTATGGTTTTGTTAACAGAAAGGCGTGCATCAAGTTATATGTTCATACGACGTCGCTGGGTGGTTGGTGGATTATCGCACAAAACATGTTTGGACACCACTTTACTGTATTCCTAATTCAATGGATTTAATAGATTTGTTTATAATAATTTATATTGAATTAGATTTAAAATCATTTTGAATTTGAACAGCCATAAATCCTGTTTTATTCGTTAAAGTTTATTACAATGCCATTGATTTATTTATATTATAATTGACAAAAACTTTTAAAAACCATTTTTTATGTATTAAATACTGTTTATTGATGCATATTACTTAAAATTCAAGATTGCAAATAAATTGTATGTAAGTACACTTAATTAAAGCTTCATGTTCGAATTCGTGTAACTAACTACAGATAAACATAATCAAATACAGGATAACCATCTCATTTTAAATATAAAAAATCTAAAATATAATTAGAATAATCATTGAATTTAACAGGATACTTAATTATTATCTTTATAAAATTTATAATATTAAACCAAAAATAAATTATTTTATTATTAAACTTAAATTAAATTATAATAAAAGAATAAATTAAANAATTATTTTATTATTAAACTTAAATTAAATTATAATAAAAGAATAAATTAAAGAAATTACATAAAAAATATGACTTTTAAATAGTTGATTTAATACTAATTTCGCTTTATTTTTAAAAAAAATTATAATATTTCATTCAAAAATAAGAACATTTTATTTTTTCTCAAAACCACATAAAATTGCATTATAACATCGATAGAACCAAAATATAAAAAAGAAACATTAAAATCAAGATGTATCTCGCTGCATTGCGCGAGTATCATTCTAGTTATATTATAAAGTATTTGATAACTCTTAAAAACCATTTTTTATGCATTAAGTATTGTTTATTGATGCATATTACTTAAAATTCAAGATTGCAAATAAATTGTACGTAAGTACACTTGATTAAAGATTCATGTTCGAATTCGTGTAACTAACTATAGATAAACATAATCAAATAGAGGATAAACATTG